CCATCTAGGAGGTGGCAACCTCCAAGAGTAACAAGCACCACCATCTTGCAACTCGATCACCTAGTGCCACTCGATGCAACCTCATGATGCAATCGCACTAGAATCACTCTCTCACATAATCGAATGATCACTATCAAGCATATGTGAGATGGAGGGCTCCTAAGCACTCTCAAGCATGGACACAAAGTCCCCTAAGGTGCTCTCTCTTAGACATGGCCAAGACCCACTTCTATTTATATCCCCATGGGCTAAACAAGCTGTTACCCCTTCACTGGGCAAAAATCAGGGCGACCGAACGCCCGATCGGTTTGATCGGACACAGGACCCCAGCGTCTGGTCGCGCGATGCACGCCACGTGGCCCCTGCTTTAAATGCTGATCGCCCGATCTCAACGGTCATCAGTGCACTTAAGTTGTGACCGGACACGCTTCAGTGAAGGACCGGACACAAGACCCCAACGTTCGGTCACTTCCAGTAAGGTTCCAGTCGCGACCAGACGCATTCGGTCATGCCCGACTGGACGCAGACAAGCTAGAGTCTGGTCGTTTCTAGAGAGATCCCTGAACCTCTGTTTTGCGACCGGACGCATCCGCTCCTATACGACCGGACGCAGCACCTAAGTCTGGTTATTCTCCAACTGCCACGTCAGCATACGTCAGTACTGACCGGATGCAGGCCCTGAGCGTCCGGTCACTCTTCGAGCCAGCGTCCGGTAATGAGACCGAGACCATGCGCTCACAGCTGCTACTGACCGAACACGGGGTCAGAGTCCGGTCACCATGTGACCAGCGTCCGGTGCACTCTATGAAACCCTATCTTTTCTGTACAGGGCGCCGGTGGCACCGTCGGACTGTCCGCCGATGAAGTTTCGAACCCTTGCTCCCAAGTGCTAAACACAATATGTATCACCTTTGTGCATGTATGTTAGCATATTTTCACAATCATTTCCAAGGGTTAGTCACTCAACTTGCCAGGTCACTTGATCCTAGCAATGATGCAAAGTTAGATCACTCAAGTGGCCCTAGATGACCGATATGCAAACAAGTTTGCCCCTCTTGATAGTATGGCCATATATCCTAAACCCGGTAATCAACTTCTCTACACACCTATGACCGGTGAAATGAAATGCCCTAGGTTATACCTTTGACTTGCGCATTCCATTCCATCTCCACCAATGTCGATGCAACACATGCACCAACACGATCAACAATGATATGATCCACTTCATATCATCATGTGATCATATTGGTTCATCGATCTTGACTTCACTTGCTTTTCACCATTGTCTTCGTCCATCGGCGCCAAGTCTTGCTCAAGCTTCACCGCCAGGCGGTCCATCGCTCCAAAGCCTCCAACTTGCCCTTCACGCTTGCAAATGGTCCATCAAGCCAAGTCATGTCTTGATCTTTTCCACCTTGATCACATGACTCAATGTCATGTCTCATGTGCAATGAGCTCCTTCATCATCACATGTGTGAGTTTTGCAACATCTCCGAGCCATTTCCACCTTCATGGCATATGCTGCTCACACACATGTACCTGTGGACTAATCACCTATGTATCTCACATAAACACAATTAGTCCACCTAGAGTTGTCACTCAATTACCAAAACCAAATAAGGACCTTTCAACCGTGGACACTGGATGCCGAGTCACTGTAGATTTCGCAATAACCCCCCCGGCCGCTGTCCTCACTCTCTCTCAATCTCTACCCATCGTCTCTCTCCCCAATCTCTTTCTGCTCCAGCGTGGTGCCACCGCTGCCGCCACCTCCGGCGTGTCCTACCTCCGCCAGCGCCCATGCATACATCGATGTCGCTTGGTTGCTCGTCTTCCTTTCCGGGTCATCAGGGGCGGTCGAATTACAAGCTCCTTCCTCTCAAATGCGGGCCGTGCACTAGTCTACCGCTGGTGCCATGCCCCAAGTGCGGCGAGGAGATCTTTGAGCTAGTCGCTATGCCTGGATCTAAGGTCCCCGGGTTCATCTTCTTCGAATGCCCCCTTCATGAAAGAGATGTAAGTTCATAGTTGAGTTCATAGATATAGGGTTTGCCTATAGCTGTCATGTAATGTGGTATCCAAATCCCTCTTGCAGGTGCCAGGTACTTGCCCATGGTACCTGTTTGCCGACAAGTATGAGAAAATGCTCATTAAAAGGGGAGTGATTGCAATCACCAGAGTGGAGACCGAGCAACCTGTCCCTGAGCTGTCTGATGAAGTTGGAGGCTTGCAGGCAGCAGTTGATGGCGCAAACAATGTGTTGGCATGTGTCAATGATGATGTTGAGGCACTGAAGGCTACCATTGGTGGTTTAGATGCAAAGCTGAAGAAGCTAGTAGTCTTAGGGGAAATTGGAGTTGTTTCATTGTTATTCTTGCAGTCTTTGTTGTTCTTGGTGTGATCAAAATGTTGGTGATGTAAAAATAGGAATTGTAATGTTTTAGTTTCAGTTAATGCAGTGACCTATTTCATGGCCAACTAGCTCCATTGAAATGAATGTATGTCTTTGTTTTGCAACTCAGTTTACATGAAATTGAGAGCAATGTGAACCAGAAATACATGGAATTGACAGCAATGTGAACTGAAAATAGCATGTGACAACAACAACAACATTTGAGATTAAATCAGTGACATATAATAACTGAAATAGCATCCATTACATCATAGTTTAGGTGCTTCCATTACACAACCAACACTGCATTATATCATACTAGTTGCATATGACCTATACCTATATGATCATTGCACTAAAGCCAACTATACCACCTGGACAAAAGGCAACTATAGTGCCTGCACAAAAGTTAAGTGCAGTTGCTGCACAAAAGGCAACTGTATTTGGTCCACAAAAGCCAACTAGCTATGATGTACAAAAGGGCAGCCACACATTCCATGGTCTTTCCTACTCTCCAGATTGACCTTTCTTGGCCTTCACTGTCTTTTTCTTACTTGGGTTCATAGGGTTCTTGTTGACTGATTTGCTCCTTGATGCCCTGCTAGCTTTGGTTGCTGTTGTAAGGGGAATTTGCCTTGCTGGTGGGAGGTTGGAAACAATGTAGGCAGAGTCTGGTAGTGGATGACAGATTGGATTTTGTCTCAGTCTGTGAAGCCTGATTAATAACAGAACCATCAGTTATGTAGTATGGCAAAAAATTAGATGAAAATTGTAAGATTGTTCCTGAGTTATGGTACCTCATCCTATAGTTGTGACACCATAGGGTTCTCCATTTAGGACAGCAATGCTTCTGTTTCAGCTTCTTTAGTATGGAGCTCCTGAAACACAGGTTCTAGTCAAGAAAGGCAGTTTTCACCTATAGAAGGGAATGGTGTGCCTTCTTTGCACATACCTGGACATATTCTTCATCATGCCTAGGTTGCTGATCTTCATGCACAATAGTTCTCCTTTTGGCTTTCTTAACATGTGGTTCTCCTACCTTCTTTGCTACACATGTTGCTGAGTTGTGCCTAGGTTGACCACAGTGACTGCAATGTATGATTACTCCATGTTTGGATAGCCTTCATCCATTTCTTCCATGAACTTCATGTGGTGCTTTCCTTCTTTCCTTAGGTGGCCTTCCTACCTTCTTCTCATATTTAGGTGGCTGCACTTCTGGACCTCTAACATTTTTCAAAGAAGCCTTGTCATAATAGGGAAGAATGTTGCAACTATGCATTTTTGAATGCTTCAATGGAGTAACAGGCTAGCAACACTGAGTCTTCTAGAATTCTTTCATGCCTAAGGCATGAAATTGCATGGCTACAGGGTATGCCTATCAAATCCCACCTTTTGCAATCACAATGTCTACCTGCAATGTCAACAACATATTGCCACTCTCTGTCTTGAACCTCAAAAATTCCACTGCCACTTGGTAATGCATAACATGTGTTGGACATCTTGGCATGCCTAGCTAACTTTTCCTGATCTTCAGGCATGTAACGATGCCTCCCCACTTCTCAGCCACCTCTTTCTATTTGTTGTAGTGCCTTGTCATAAGTTGGCCTTTGATCTTTTGCAGCATGGTCAAGATAGGCAGTTCTCTGGCTTCCAATATGTACTTGTTGAAAACTTCACAAGTGTTGTTCAGGAGGATATCACACTTAGGGTACTCACTAAGAAAGCCCTAACCCATGTGTTTGGTGGCATCTTCTCTAACCAGGCATGGGCATCCTTGTTAAGCACTTTTATTTTCTCCATCTCCTGGTTCCACCTGACAACTGTACTTGTTCATGCACATGCCCACAATTGATTCTTCAAGTTCTTCCCTTTGAAGTGGCCTTGGAAATTTGAGTACAGATGTCTAACATAGAACTTGTGTTCTGACTCAGGAAAGACTTGTTGAACAGCAGTGATAAGACCTTTCTGTTTATCTGTCATTATGGTCCAAGGTGTGGTGTTTTGTATGCCAAGATCCTATTTTAGTGTCCCTAGGAACCACTTCCATGATGCTAGGGACTCAACCTCCACAACTGCCATGGCTACAGGAAAGATACAATCATTAGGGTCTATGCCTATAGCAGTTAGCAGGTGGCCCCCAAACTTAGTCTTGATGTGGTAGCCATCTAGACAGATCATAGGCCTACAACAAGTAAGGAAACCCCTCTTGCATGCATCCAAAGAAATGTACGGTGAACTGAAGAAACCATCAAGGCAGTTCAGAAAGAAGGTACTGCCTGGATTTGTCTTCCTCAGTTCGTGGCCATAGTTCCTTAGGTCATTGAATTGTTGCACTTCATCTCCGCTCCAACTGAACAGTTCTTCCAAAGTTGGTCAGGCTCATCTTCTCATATGCCCTAAACCTGTCCAAGTACTTCTTTGCTAACCATGTAGCAGTACACTTCTTGAGTTGCCTTTTTTCTAACAATGATGATCCCCAACATAAGACTTGATCAAGAAACATTTGAGCCTTGAGTCATAAGAAGCATACAGGTTCCATGGACAGCCTGTGTCATAATGGGCTTTGATTCTGCTCTGGTCATTCTTTGGCATCTTTATCTCCACTCTTTTATTTGATACTGTATTCTGTAATAGCACTTCTCAGCATTTCTACTAATGCAACCTTCATTCCTATCTTGAAAATTGGGTTGTGCATATCCTCTGGCCTAAAGGTCTTCAAATTCTTGCCAGGATGTCCCTCTTCATCAGAATCTGGTAACTCCAACTCATCTTCATCAGAGGTCAGCTCATCCCATTCCCTATCCGCTCCCTCCTTCCCTTTGCCTGATTGGGCATTTTTGTTCTTCCCTTTGCTGAGTACCATGCCCTTGCCTGCACCTTCATCAACCACTCCATCATCAATATTATCATAAAATAGGTCATCATCCCCATCATCAAGTTCAGTCATTGTCAACAAAGTCCACATCTGAACTGCCCTCATTATCAGTATTTGTCGTTCCCTCATCAACATGTATTCCAGCAGGCACCTTTCTAGGGATCAACACCTTGGGTAGTGACTCAATTGGATTGACCACAATGTCTTCCCACATATTGCCAGCAAGTGAATCATACTGATCAAAATACAACACAAAGTTCTTAACCTTATACACAACTTGCTTCATGATGTTTGTTTCTCCATCTGAGTCTATGATTCGCAAACCAGTAGACAAATCTAGCTCAGGCAACAATCAGTTGAAAGCTCTAGTTTGGTTTTGGTGAATTAATGAAACCCTAAGTGCTAACCTAGTTTATCAAGTGATCATAAAATAGGTAGCACATTCCAAGTGGTGACGCAAATGAAGATCATGACATGATGATGGTGATGCCATGGTGATGATAAAGTGCTTGGACTTGAAAAGAAGAAAGAGAAAAACAAAAGGCTCAAGGCAAAGGTATAAATGGTAGGAGCCATTTTGTTTTGGTGATCGATACACTTAGTGAGTGTGATCATATTTAGGATCGATAGTCGTACTATTAAGAGGGGTGAAACTTGTATCGAAATGCGGTTATCAAAGTGCCACTAGATGCTCTAACTCATTGCATTTGCATTTAGGATCTAGTGGAGTGCTAACACCCTTGAAAATGTTTGTGAAAATATGCTAACACATGTGCACAAGGTGATACACTTGGTGGTTGGCACAATTGAGCAAGGGTTAGGAACTTCACCGGCGGAGTGTCCGCCCATAGAGTGCGGACAGTCCGACGGTGCCACTAGACGGAGGTCACCCATTGAAAGAGAAGACACCATATGAGCTCTTGAATGGTAGAAAGCCCAACATTGCATATTTTCGGGTCTTTGGTTGCAAATGCTATATCTTGAAGAAAGGCACTAGATTGGGCAAGTTTGATAAGAAATGTGATGAATGATTCCTACTTGGTTACTCCACTACAAACAAAGCATATAGAGTTTAGAATTTGGATAGTGATACTCTTGAGGAAGTTCATGATGTTGAATTTGATGAAACCAAGGGTTCACAAGTAGAGAATGAGAACTTGGAAGATGTTAGAGGCATTCAACTTTCAAATGCAATGAAGAACATGGATGTTGGTGAATTGAGGCCTAGGCAAGTAAATGATGATGAAGATGATCAAGTGCAAGTGCTCTTCAACTCAAATGTGCAAGATGATACAAATCAAGCTAGTGCAAGTGGCTCTCATGATAATGAACAAGATCAAGTGGCTAGTACATCATCTCAACCTAATGATCAAGCAAGTGCAAGCAATCAAGTTCCAATCCTCCAACCAACCAATGTTGCAAGGGATCATCCATTGGACACTATCATTGGTGATATTTTAAGAGGTGTGCAAATTAGATCAAGATTGGCTTCATTTTGTGAGCACTTCTCATTTGTGTCATCCATTGAACCAAAGAAGATAGATGAAGCATTGAAGGATATTGATTGGGTGAATGCTATGCATGAAGAATTGAATAACTTCACAAGAAATCAAGTATGAGAAATGGTAGAGAGACCAAAGGGACACAATGTAATTGGAACCAAATGGGTCTTTAGAAACAAGCAAGATCAAGATGGGATAGTAGTAAGGAACAAAGCAAGATTGGTAGCACAAGGCTATACACAAGTTGAAGGTCTTGACTTTGGAGAAACATATGCCCCGATTGCTAGATTGGAAGCAATTAGGATCTTGCTAGCCTATGCTTGTGCCCACAACATCAAGCTCTATCAAATGGATGTTAAGAGTGCATTTCTCGATGGTTATATCAATGAAGAAGTATATGTTGAGCAACCTCCCGGTTTTGAAGATGACAAGAAGCCCGACCATGTGTACAAGTTGAAGAAGGCATTGTATGGCTTGAAGCAAGCACCTAGAGCATGGTATGAGAGATTGAGGGACTTGCTACTCTCTAAAGGGTTCATGATAGGCAAGGTTGACACCACTCTTTTCATCAAGAAGATTGGAAAAGATTTATTTGTGTTACAAGTCTATGTTGTTGACATCATATTTGGATCAACCAATCAAGACTTTTGTGATGAGTTTGGAAAGATAGTGGCTAATGAGTTTGAGATGTCCATGATTGGAGAGTTGAGTTACTTCCTTGGTCTTCAAATCAAGCAACTGAAAAATGGTATATTTGTGAGTCAAGGCAAGTATATCAAGGACATGATCAAGAAGTTTAGCATGAGTGATAGCAAACCCATTAGCACACCAATGGGAACAAATGGCAACTTAGATAGTGATGCAAGTGGAAATATGGAGGATCAAAAATTGTATCGGTCTATGATTGGAAGCCTACTCTATGTGACCGCATCAATACCGGATGTCATGTTTAGTGTATGTATGTGTGCAAGATTTCAAGCCTCACCAAGAGAGAGTCATTTGAAAGCTACAAAGAGAATATTGAGGTACTTGAAGCATACATAAAATATTGGTTTGTGGTATCCCAAAGGAGCAAAGTTTGAGCTAGTTGGTTACTCCGACTCAGATTATGCGGGATGCAAGGTTGAAAGGAAGAGCATCTCGGGCACATGTCAATTATTGGGAAGATCACTTATTTCATGGTCATCAAAGAAGCAAAATAGTGTTGCATTATCAACCGCCGAAGCCGAATACATATCCGCTAGTAGTTGTTGTGCACAAATACTTTGGATGAAGGCCACTTTGAGTGACTTTGGACTCAAGTTCAAGAAAGTGCCATTGCTGTGTGACAATGAGAGTGCAATCAAGTTAACCAACAATCTGGTTCAATATGCAAGAACAAAGCATATTGATGTCTGCCACCATTTCATAAGAGATCACCAACAAAAAGGGGACATTTGCATTAAGAGTGTAGGCACCGAAGATCAACTTGTCGATATATTCACCAAGTCATTGGATGAGAAAAGGTTTTGCAAGCTAAGGAATGCGTTGAACATATTGGATTTCTCAAATATGTGTTGATGCACCCTCCACTCATATGACATGCCTCTTCTTCGAGCAATTCAAGGTAAAAGTTGATTGGCATGGCATATATTCTTGCTAAGGACATGTTTAGTGCATCTAGACATCTTTCACATTAAATAGGCTCATTCATGAAAATCAAATGAATTTGATGATTGTATGGTACCACTATTGCTTCTATGCTTATTTTGATCTAGTGATAGCATATGACATGTTTGTGGGCTTGTAAACCTAGTGTTTGATCTAGAAAATGAGCTCTAAGTACTTAACTCAACATGGTACAAGATAACCCTTATTCGGAGGTATGAAGAAGCTTGTTCTTGGATCAAACCGAGTTAAATATCTTTGGCAAATGATCTAGATTGGACCAAATTTTGGGAAAATACTCCTCACCCCATTGACTGACATTGATAATCTCAACTTATCTACATTTTGAACCTTTGTGGTCATTGATGACAAAGGGGGAGAAAAACAAAGATATTAGTGTACTAAGATAATGAAAAGACAACAAAGGGGGAGAACTTGACATAGAGGGAGTGATATGACAAAGTAAAGGGATCAATTAAAATGTTGAGCACACAAGTAGGGGGAGCAAGCTCATGAACTTGTATGGTGCATTTGAATATGCATTTCATATGTTTGCTTGCATGGCACAAGTTTTAAATTTCAATATCCATGCTTGTGTGGTGTATGCTAGTTGTAGGTTTGAATGATGAAATGAAAATCTAGCATGCATTGGTTATCTAGTGATTTCATTTCCATGTGTTTCCAAGTGGTATCGAGCTAACCATGGTGCTAAGGATGGTATAATGGTGCACTCTGATTGGTATCACGCTTCAAAGGTCTATCTTTTATACCTTAGCATCTTTTGGTAGACATTGTCTCCTATATTTCCTATCTAAGCATATGTGCAAGCTACAATCCAAACTCTTAGCACATATGTAGGGGGAGCAATTGCTACCATTTGGGGTTCATGAAACTTGTCCATATCCTTTTACAAATGGTAAAAATGCTTGGGCAGGCAACATGGATTTAATTGAATTTCAATTCATATCTTTGTGTAAGGGTTGTCATCAATTACCAAAAAGGGGGAGATTGAAAGCTCTAGTTTGGTTTTGGTGAATTGATGAAACCTTAAGTGCTAACCAAGTTTATCAAGTGATCATGAAATAGGTAGCACATTACAAGTGATGACGCAAATGAAGATTATGACATGATGATGGTGATGCCATGGTGATGATAAAGTGCTTGGACTTAAAAAGAAGAAAGAGAAAAACAAAAGGCTCAAGGCAAATGTATAAATGGTAGGAGCCATTTTGTTTTGGTGATCGAGACACTTAATGAGTGTGATCACATTTAGGATCGATAGTCGTACTATTAAGAGGGGTGAAACTCGTATCAAAATGCGGTTATCAAAGTGCCACTAGATGCTCTAACTCATTGCATTTGCATTTAGAATCTAGTGGAGTGCTAACACCCTTGAAAATGTTTGTGAAAATATGCTAACACATGTGCACAAGGTGATACACTTGGTGGTTGGGACAATTGAGCAAGGGTTAGGAACTTCACCGACGGAGTGTCCGGCGGTGCCACCGGCGCTCTATACAGAAAAGATGGAGGTCACTGTAAGTGACTGGACGCTGGTCTCGATTGGACCAGCGCGTCCGGTCAGTGGCAGCAGAGGGCGCGCTGTTTTAGTCTCATGACCGGACGCTGGCGCGAAAACTGACCGGACGCTCAGGGCCTGAGTCCGGTCTGTCTGACGTATGATGACGTTGAGTGACCGGACGCTGGGTGTGTCCGGTCGAGCATGACCGGACGCGTCCGGTCGTGATTTCTCGCTTCTGGATGCTTACTGGAAACGACTGGACGCTGAGGTCCAGCGTCCGGTCACTTTGCAACAGCGCGTCTAGTCATTACTTGACCATTGGGATTGGGCGCTCAGTATTTGAAGAAAGGGGACACGTGGTGTTGTCGATGTTTTACCACCGATAGCCTGCCACGGGGGTACCTGGGACAGTTGTTCGGGCTTCGGCGAATAGCGGAATTTGGCGGTTACGCAAAAAGACTCAC